CATCCTCCATTTTGGGCTTCCAAATTACATAGCTGGAAGCATTCAGCTTGATCATGGATCCCAAAGTCGATGTAAATTTCTCCATCAATAATTTTCTCTACAGAAAATGATCTCTGTTTGAAAATCAGACTTCACTGTTGAGTTCGAACTGGTTAAATTAGCCAGAAAAACACTTCAGATTGCCAAAATAAAAAATATAAATTTTTGAAATCTGATTTGCGAAATTTGACTATACGGATGTCTCCAGAATATTCCAAATAGTTGGAAACCACTATTGGATTGTCAAAAACGGACTTCAAAATGGCTCAAAACAAGTTAATGGTTTAGATCGGTGAAATTTGGTACGCCTAGGAAACATTGGATAATTCCTCCGATTTGGTTGGCATGAGGCTGACGTTAGCAATGGTGGTGTGGCTTGGCTGGCAGCGCGGCTTAGTCAGTAGCTCGGTCAACGAGTCTCGGCTCTAGACAACGGCTCTGGTCAACGGCTTCAATTGGCGGCTTGGTCAGTGGGTCGAAGTGGTAAGCCCGATGACGTCATCAAGATGACATCAACTAGCTGATGTCAGGTTGTATTCTTCTTTAGTTTCGCGTGTGAAGTGCGTGCAGCCAGTCTCTAGCGTGTGAGAAGGGCGTCAGTGGCGCGTGTGGTGCGTGCGGCCTCCTCCGTAGTCTATTTTCAACGCGATTTTTTTCCTATGTGCTCATTTCATCGAGAGCTTCAACTTGGTGTGATCAAAAGTGGATTTCGATCAATTTGATTTTTGGGCAATTCTGAAAAACACACTATGTTTTTTCGAAAAAGACACAACTAGGCTCTGATACCACTTTGTCAGGATTAAAGACACCCAGAAAATGATCAAAAAACAATCACATACACAAATAAGACACAAATATTTATGTGGTTCGGCCCAATGCCTACGTCTACAGGAGAAAAAGAGAAAGCTTCACTATGAACAAAACAAAATACAAAAACAGAAGATAAGGAGTCTTACTCTCTCAACTCAACTCACATATCATACACTTCTCACAACTTTCTTTTTTCTTCACTCTTGATCTCTATCTCAACTCACAGCTTTTTCTATTTATACACAAACATGAGAACCAAAAAATCAACATCTGCTTGCCAACAACCAATTGCCAAATAAATGGCAAACCATTAACACAGCCACCCTAGGTTGGAAAATCTTCAGAAAATTTGTAGCCCAAAATCTATAGCAGCTGCATTTGATTTCCATGGCCAACTTCACATGGTGTGGATACACAACAAGAACCTCTTCGGTTTTTAAAAGGGAAAATTGTAAAGTGTATGTTTTCAACAATAATTTCAAATTAGATTAATTGAAGCTGTAAATTTTTTCATGAATTTGTAAATATTTTGTGAAATTACCATTGATTTGTAATCTTTCATTTTTAAAATCATTTATTATCTCCTATTCATTTTTTTTTTCAAGCCTATATATTAGCTTGTCTCAACATACAAAATTAATTTGTGTCTTTTCAATTATTCAATTTGCTTCAACATTTTTCTATAACTCTCGTAACTCACCCTTGATGAACCTAGAGCTACAACTTTTATTCAACTTCAACACCATCACATATACAAAATGGGTCTTTTCAAGCATTCAAATGTCACTTGTTTGGGATTTGAGACTTGGGAGTTAAAAAAATTTAAAAACCTTTGAGTGCAATCAACCATTAATTCAGAAGAAGAAAATAGTGAGATTATACTAGCATCAATATGGATGTGGAACACAACAAGTACACACTAAGAATGCATCAATGTGCTTGAGTTTAGTTGGTCAAAGTAACTGAATCATATGAGACTCATTGAATGATATTATTAACATAAGAACAAATGTAAAAAGGAAAATTACAACCCAAACTCGTCTATTTATCCATCCATATGATGCATCGAAGGCTTTTCCCTTGTAGAAGTAAGTCAAAAGCTTTGTTAATTTCCTGGAAGCTGACTTCATGTGTTATGAAGCCATCCAAATTAAGTTCCTATTAAAAAAAAAAAAAACCAAAGCATAAGTAATTGTTATAGAAAATTATATATATATATATATATATATATTAAAAGTAGTGTTTTTCTAATGCTTAGGTGACACATTTAAGTGTTTTCTTTTTTCTAAAAGAGTCACGTCAGTATATATTTTCTTAATTACATATAGAAATCTACACAAACCCAAATCTAATTTAAATTTTACTAACTTTACCTATTTTATATGAACTTTATTTGACAAATATTTCTTTTTCATATATTTTTTTTTATCATAAATTGAGATAATTCACAAACTCGGTACCAATTTTATATTTCACGTTTTTCTTTTTAATTTTTTCAAGGGTATTAGGTTTTTTTTTTTCTTATTTTTTTGCACATTATTCTATACCCAATGTTGAGGATCACAGCTTAAGAGCTCAGGCCACAGTAGACCATAGCCCACTTGAGCCCAGGCCGCAACCTACCCTTAGCTACTTTACAATCCATATTAGTCCATGGCTCATAGTTAGTTAGGAGGTTACAAGTTTGTTAAGATGGTTAGATAGTTTGTTATTAGTCTGTTATATCTTTGTGTATAAATATAGAAGATGTAATACTTGCCAAGTAATGAAAAAGATGATTTGTCCATAGCTTTTCTACATGGTATCAGAGCTCCTGCTCTAATGAGAAACTGATCCATGGCATCTCCTTCATCTTTATCTTCATCTTCTATATCCTCATCACTTCCTTCAAATTTAACTCTGTTAATCTCTAATCTTTCATCATTTGTGATAGTTCATCAAGATGACATCAACTAGCTGATGTCAAGTTGTATTCTTCTTTAGTTTCGCGTGTGAAGTGCGTGCAGCCAGTCTCTAGCGTGTGAGAAGGGTGTCAGTGGCGCGTGTGGTGCGTGCGGCCTCCTCCGTAGTCTGTTTTCAACGCGATTTTTTTCCTATGTGCTCATTTCATCGAGAGCTTCAACTTGGTGTGATCAAAAGTGGATTTCGATCAATTTGATTTTTAGGCAATTCTGAAAAACACACTCTGTTTTTTCAAAAAAGACACAACTAGGCTCTGATACCACTTTGTCAGGATTAAAGACACCCAAAAAATGATCAAAAAACAATCACATACACAAATAAGACACAAATATTTACGTGGTTCGGCCCAATGCCTACGTCTACGGGAGAAAAAGAGAAAGCTTCACTATGAACAAAACAAAATACAAAAACAGAAGATAAGGAGTCTTACTCTCTCAACTCAACTCACATATCATACACTTCTCACAACTTTCTTTTTTCTTCACTCTTGATCTCTATCTCACCTCACAGCTTTTTCTATTTATACACAAACAAGAGAACCAAAAAATCAACATCTGCTTGCCAACAACCAATTGCCAAATAAATGGAAAACCATTAACACAGCCACCCTAGGTTGGAAAATCTTCAGAAAATTTGTAGCCCAAAATCTGTAGCAGCTGCATTTGATTTCCATGGCCAACTTCACATGGTGTGGATACACAACAAGAACCTCTTCGGTTTTTAAAAGGGAAAATTGTAAACTGTATGTTTTCAACAATAATTTCAAATTAGATTAATTGAAGCTGTAAATTTTTTCATGAATTTGTAAATATTTTGTGAAATTACCATTGATTTGTAATCTTTCATTTTTAAAATCATTTATTATCTCCTATTCATTTTTTTTTTCAAGCCTATATATTAGCTTGTCTCAACATACAAAATTAATTTGTGTCTTTTCAATTATTCAATTTGCTTCAACATTTTTCTATAACTCTCGTAACTCACCCTTGATGAACCTAGAGCTACAACTTTTATTCAACTTCAACACCATCACATATACAAAATGGGTCTTTTCAAGCATTCAAATGTCACTTGTTTGGGATTTGAGACTTGGGAGTTAAAAAAATTTAAAAACCTTTGAGTGCAATCAACCATTAATTCAGAAGAAGAAAATAGTGAGATTATACTAGCATCAATATGGATGTGGAACACAACAAGTACACACTAAGAATGCATCAATGTGCTTGAGTTTAGTTGGTCAAAGTAACTGAATCATATGAGACTCATTGAATGATATTATTAACATAAGAACAAATGTAAAAAGGAAAATTACAACCCAAACTCGTCTATTTATCCATCCATATGATGCATCGAAGGCTTTTCCCTTGTAGAAGTAAGTCAAAAGCTTTGTTAATTTCCTGGAAGCTGACTTCATGTGTTATGAAGCCATCCAAATTAAGTTCCTATTAAAAAAAAAAAAAACCAAAGCATAAGAAATCTGGGCAGCAACACTAGGCTCCCAAACACAACCAACCTGAAACAAACCTGCCCAACACATCCTATAACTCAATATACCAGTAAAGAAGATGCAAATAAGATAATAAACAACTACCAACATCCACGGACACATGTCCGGATCACTGTACAACAAGGGTAAACCCGGGATCGCTATAGTCGGGGGGATTCACGATCCTGACTTAGGAGAGAACACATAATTTGTGCTTACAACAGAAGAGACACATGGTGCAATAGATGTGGTCTCCTCCACTTGTAACCGTCGTTAACTAGTAGAAGGACGTATCTTATATTCTTCTATATTTTTTGATCTTTTTCTTTTATCCTAGGGGCACTTATTAGTAAGACTAAAAAATATAAGAGAATTACTATTTCATTTTCTTGATATCATCCAATCGAACCCAATGCAATTGTTTGCTTGCATTTTAAAATTCAATGGAACCATTTTCATTAGAATCTAAGTTGAATAGTTAAGGGTAAGAGGTAAGGATGATATCAATAATAAGAAAAACTTACTTTGTCTAGATATTTTTTGATAAGGAATGGAATGTCAGATTTGGCTTTGAGTCCTCCGAAAAGGGCCCCTTCGATGGTTCTCCCTCTTATGATCTCAGGATAGTTGATGCTGAATGGCGAGTGCAAATCCATCCCTAGTATCACTGTTCTCCCACATCCCTAACCTCACATATAAAACCAACTAAATTAACCTCATTATATAAATAAATTTAAAAAATGAGAAAATTGAATGGTCATCAAAATAACGTGTGTTTAATCACATTTTCCTTTAAATATATGTTGAAATAGATTAACTTTGCAATATCTTCGGAAGTAAATTGAAATCTACGTTATAAAGATGGAAAATATGCTACTATGTGCACCCTAAAAAAGATGCATACGGTATGTCTTTCATAAGTTTTTTACAAAATTTTTAAACATTAAATGTCGTAATTTTTTTACTACAAAAGTCATAACTTTTTTTCATTATAAAATGCCATAACAAAAATCGCAAAGTGTCATAACAAAACTACAAAGTGTCATAACAAAAATCATAGTGTCATAACCCCTAACTTTAGGGTGCACACCATAAATTCACTATTTATAACTTTACCAGAAAATGTCACGACACACATCACAAAAAATCATAACTCTCATCACAAAAAATCTTAACTTTTTTATGATATGCACCTTTTAAAGGGTGCACGTTGTAAATTTCTCCTGTAAAAACACATTAAGAAATTTGTGAAGAAATTAAGTAGAAAAAAAAAAAGACAGAGAAATAGTAGGAAAAAAAATTCAACTTCTACTTCATTTATTTTTCTTCACAAATCTTTATTTAAATTTAAAATACAAAAACTATATTTATATTTAGACTAAAATAATTATGTATTCATGTTATAAGGCATTCAAGTTTCTATGTCATTATGAAAAGTATGTTTCATTAAATTATGTCTAGAACCTCTAAACCAAGATCACGACCTAATAATTAGGTCATACTTTTTTTATCAGCAAAAAAAACTTTATTAATGAAGAAAGCAAAAAAACTTAGATCAACAAAGAGATAAGTGCAAAAAGAATCAATGCTAACCTTAACAATCCCAACTAGGTTGGCACCGCTAAGGAAGCACAATCATTTGCTAGCACAAACCCAAGATTGGTGATAAACCAATCAAGAAAGACCAAAGCACAGAGAAAAAAAGAAAAAAAAATAGAACAGCACAAAAGAGATTCACCACTACAACATTGAACTCAGCAGCACCAAGGATCAACACAAAAGATTCACCACTAAGCACCACACAACAGCAACAGAGCACGCCTCAGCTTCTAGGATCTACACAAGAGATTCACCACTACAGCATCCCAAAAAACAACAACAGAATAGGCCTCAGCACTGAACTCAGCAGCTCCCAAGATCTACACGAGAGATTTACCATCACAGCAGTATATCAGACAACCATCACAGAACTTAGCAATTCCTAAGATGTACACAAGAGATTCACCACTACAATATCCCCAAAACCATACACCACATAGCAGTAATCAACAACATACAGCAGAATATCATACCACCATACACCTGGAATAATCAGCAGCATACAGCAATCAGCAAACATACCAGACAGCCTCTCACTTGGAATAAATTCCGACCTGATGTATATTAAAGATAATATCATTCACTGAGAATAACAATCCTGAGCATGATGTTTTGATCCATAGTGCAATTCTCACTTTAACCAAATCACAAAGCTCCTCCAAGCTAGGTTGGGCATTGTTAAAAATGCAATCATTCCTTAATTTCCATATCAACCAGAACACCGCAAACGGAATAATTCTCCAAATCTTCTTCTCTAATTTCTTCAACTTTGTTCTTGACCACCAATGTAGCAGCTCATCCACAGATTTTGATATCACCCATTGAATACCCCACAATTTCATAATTTTGGACCAAACTAACCAAACAAAATGGCAATGCAAGAGCACATGATTGTCTGTTTCCTCCTCCTCATTGCAGAACACACAATGAAAATTAGTATGATTATCCAAAATCCCCTTCCTTTGAAGATATTTAGATGTCTTAATCCTTTTCTTCCAAGCAAACCAGCCAAAAAATTGAACTTTTGGGGGTGCCACATTCTTCCAAATACACTTTGTCACCCTGTAAGTAGGACCAAAAGAGGATTCACACCAATGGTATGCTGATGAGACAGTGAACACTCCTGAGGAATCTACATTCCATTTCAATTTATCAGTTACATTAACCTTTAATTCCGGTACAGTACGCAACAATCTCTTCAATCTATCTAACTCCTCCATTTCCCACTCAAACAAACTCTTTCTAAACAGTGAGTTCCAATCATCTTGACCAACTCTATTTCTCTCCGAAAACACAGATTCAGTTTTGAACACCACCAATAAGAAAAGTCTAGGAAACACATCCTTCCAGCAACTAGATCCTGCCTAGCTATCAAGCCAAAACCTTGACCTCCGACCATCCCCAAGAACAATTGTAGAATTTGAATGAAAAAAACCCAGCACTTCAGGTTTAGATAACACAATTCCCACAATATCTTTCCATATTTTGGACATCTTACCACCTCTTACAAGTTCAGGTGACCACAAATCAATAGACCCATAGTACTTTTTACAAATCACATCCTTCCAAAGGGATTTCTCTTCTGTCCCAAACCTCCACCACCACTTTAAAAGTAAACATATATTCATCAAATCTATTCTTTTCACACCCAACCCTCCTTGGCTTTTTACTAAGAGTAATATCACCCCATTTAACCAAATAAATTTTTCTTTTAAGATCTGAACCTCCCTAAAGAAAAGCTACTTGAATTTTAGCAAACTACTTTGCTACTCCTGATGGCATCCTAAACAGAGAAAGATAATATATAGGCAAACTAGACAACACAACTTTTATTAGTGTTAGTCTACCTGCAAATAAGAGGAATCTTCTTTTCCATGAGGCAAGCTTTAATTTAAACTTTTCTATCACAGGCTGCTAGGTTTTCTTTCTACTAGGACAGGCCCCCAAAGGCAATCCCAAGTATTTTAGAGGTAGTGTTTGATAAAGGCAGTGTAATTTGGAAGCAAATTCTTGACAAGATCTAAATGAATGCCCACCCCACACACCACACTCTTATGGTAATTGATTTGCAGGCCCGACATAATTTCAAAGCACCTCAATATTCTTTTAATGTTTAAAACCTTCTCCCACTCAACTTCACAGAACAATATAGTATCATCTGCAAATTACAAATGCGTGATCCTCAGGTCAGAACCCACTAATGCACCCTTGATCAAACCTAGCTGTTTTACCCTACTCAATAAAATGTTAAGACCTTTTGCCACTATATTAAAAAGCAAAGGTGATAACGGGTCTCCTTGTCTGAGCCCTCTTTGTGGTTTAAACTCAGAAGTTGGAGAACCATTCACCAAAATAGAAATGTTTGCTGAAGTTACACATTCTTTTATCCAGCTCACCCACTTAGCACCAAATCCAAAATTGGATAGCATTGAGAATAAAAAACTCCCAATTTACTGATTCGTATGCTTTTTCAAAATCAAGTTTTAATATTATCCCATTTTTTCTGTCCTTCTTCCACCCATCAACAACCTCACTTGCAATCAATATCCCATCCAAAACATTTCGTGTATCATTGATTATTCTAGGCATGACTTTCTTCATTCTATTGGAAAGTACCTTAGCAAGGATCTTATACAAGGAACCAACAAGGCTGATGGGCCTATATTCTGCAAGGCTAGATGGATTTTCATTTTTTGGGATCAAAGCTATAAAAGAGCTGTTAATACCCCGAACCAACTTCCCATTCTGGTGAAATTCATTCATAAATTGAAGAACATCCCCCTTGATAATATTCCAGCATTTCTGAAACATGTTAAGATTAAACCCATCTGGGCCAGGAGCCTTATTACCTTCACAATTCCTAATTGCTGCCTTCACTTCAGATTCTGAAAAAGGTGATTCCAACAATTTACTTTGATCTTCTCCAATGGTTTTAAAAGGACCCAACAACCCTGGCCTGCTACACCAGAAGTCTGAAAAGAGAGTGAAGAAATGATTTTGTACAACAGCCTTAACATATTGAGGATCCTCTACAACATAGCCATTGATCAAAATAGAGCATAAGGCATTCATGGTCTTTCTACTACATGCCATAATGTGGAAAAGCTTCGTATTTTTATCACCTTTAACTGCCCAATTCAGCCTTGATTTCTAAAGCCATACCCACTCCACCATTTTGCTCAGTTTCTATGCTTCCCCTTTTGCCTCCCTTCTTTTAGCAGCCTGTGATGATGATAATGACCCTTCTTCAGCTAGTAAATCTAAAGCATGAACTTCCTCTTCAACTTGTTTTAGTTTGAATTCAACATTACCAAAGACTTCATTGTTCCACTGCTTTAATGTAGCTTTCAAAGCTTTCAATTTTTTCAAACACTTAAACCCAGCCCAACCATCTATCCTTGTTTCTGACTAGCATTGTTGTACCACCTTCATGAAACTTGGATAAAGAAGCCAAGCATTAATAAATTTAAAGGGTCTAGGGCCCCAGTCCCTCTCATCTTCCGTCAGTAGAATAGGACTATGATCTGAAAACCTTCTAGGAAGACCGCACAATTTGAAGTTAAAATTACACAACCAGTCTGGGTTTAGGAAAAATCTATCTAATCCACTCCACATTTCCCCTTCTTGAGAATTACCCAAGTGAAATTGCTCCCAAACATTGGTAATTTAGTTAGCTCTAATTGGTCAATCATTTGATTGAAATCTCTCATCGCTCTATCTATTCTAGAGCACCCTTTTCTTTATGATATTCTCCTAATCTCGTTGAAATCTCCCCCCACACACCAAGGGTTATGATATAATACTTTAATATTTAACAAGATATCCCAAACCTCCTTCCTTTTCTTTACATCATTAGGACCATAGACATTCACCACCACACACTCCAAACTATGATAAATAGTACCTGATAAGAGAATGAAATTTTTATTACAGCAACAATCTTTGAGTTGAAACACTTCTGGATTCCAAACACAAAGTAAGCCTCTAATAGCTCCTTCTGAATCCACTGCCATAAAATCCATCATGTCTCCTGGCCAAATTGACCTAGCTAATTTTTCATTACTGATAACTTTCTTAGTCTCTTGCAATAGCACCATATCAACTTTATTGTCAAAGAGCACCTTTTTGATCCTCCTCCTTTTAATTGACTTCCCCAAGCCCCTAACATTCCAAGATAATAGCTTCATTACAAACTTACCATGACTCCTTATACCTACTAGGGATGCTATTCAGTTAGCATTACCCTCTCTCTCCTTAAGCTTTTCAATATCTCTCTCTTCTAACTCCATTAGCTTACTTATAATCTCCTCTTCCTTTCCATTACAGTCCAACCTGAGGACCCTACTGAGCTGCAGGGTTGTTTCAGCTTCATTAAGTTTGCTTATCATCTCCTCATCCTTTCCATTGACGTCCCTCCTTAGGACTCTACTGAGCTGCAAATTTGTTTCAGCTTCATTAAGAACCCTTCTTCTTGACTGACTTGACATGAAGAGTGAAATTGCTGCTACTGCTGCCCTGAAAACAACCCCTTTTTTCAAATTCATCGGCAATTCTTTCCTATTTTTCCCAATCAGGAGGTTGCCCTTTTGGTTAAAATAATGACCTGAAACCCCTTTTGCTTTTTCTTTTTTGCTAGCTCTTCTTACTTGATAAGATCTTAATGCATCTCCTTATGTTTCATTTTTGTTTGACTGTTGCTTCTCTACAGTTTAGGCTTGGTTCAAAATGTTACTGATAACCTGATTTGAATCAGAACAGTTGGGCTGGGCAGCAACACCACTACCATGGCCCATATCACAGTTCTGTTCATGGGCCTTGTTTAGAACCACTTCAAGATTCAATCCGGGTATGGATTGAATAAAACCACTCAAAATTTTCATAAAACCTGATGTCATCACCTCTCTATCGACTATTCGATTATCCCCCTGCTCTACCTACTTCTCTTCATGCGCAGCCCTCATCATCACGCTTGCTCGTGCGCCCCCACTGTTTGATTTTCCCAAGTTGCTAACAGTCTTCTCTACCAGTGAAACATTTAATTCTTTGTCTTTGCCTTCCATGTCAGCTCTCTCTTCATGCTCTCTTCTCCTATCTCCGACTACCATGTCATTTATGTTATCCAACTTATCATCTTGCTAGATATCCACCTCATCATCTTCATCCTCACCCCAGTTGTACCTCTATTCTAATTTCTGTTCATCTTCTAGCTCATATGAACTGTAGACATCTTCATCATCATGCTTCTTATGACATTTGCATACCTTCCTTATCAATACCTTGGTAATAATTTGTCCCTCACACACTTTCACTGGATATAGAGTTCCATAGCAATCGAGACTCACTGTTGTATTGATAGATTCCATATATGTGGTTGCAATTCTTATTCTTCCACATTGTAAACTATTCATACTAAGAGTTTCATTATCAACCTCAATAATTTCTCCCCATAATCTTCATATACTGCTGAAGGTTTTGTTGTTCCAAAGATTTAAAGGCACTCCATGATAACACAGCCAAACACATCTTTCTTGTTCAATGATCATTCCTTTTTTCCATTCCTTGATTGATTCATGCCACTCCTTAATCCAGCCACTCATCTTGCTGAGCTTTTCTTTCTTCTCTTAAACTGATTGAAAAGATACAACTATATCCCTTCCATCTGCTTTTGTGACTTTAACGGCTCCCACCTCCCTCTTAGTTAATTCCTTCCTGAAATCCTCCTCCAAGCATTTCAGTTTCAACCGAACAATTGCACTCTCATACAGCCAACCATTACCTTCTTCATAAGCTCTTATGGTTAAGCTTGTGTAATCTCTCCTCCTCCCTTCATCTACCACCTGAGCATATGATTTCTTTCTATTTTCTAGATTATCAGTCGCATAAGTTAACTTTTCATCCTTTCTCACCTCTTTGACATATGGTAATCTTGGTTTTGTCCCCTGCTCCTTCTCAAAGTCTACTTGTTTTACCTTCAATGCTCTATATTCACACCACAATCAGTTTGCTTTCTATACTGCCATTTGTGCCGCAAATGGACAATCGTATCGTACAAATCCAAATCTTGATCGTGATTGTTTCCTCCTCTTATACGCTATGTAAACATCATTCACCACCCCAAAGTTGTTGAATATTGAGTATAGCCCTTTTGGATCCATTGATTCAGGTATTTCATCCACAAAAAGTGTGTACATGCCTGTTTTGTGCTTTGAGAAACCTCTTCCTATTCTTCCATGTCTGCGTAGAACTGGCTTCCAACCCCCTTCCATGTTTTTCTTTGTAAAGAAAAGAAAGAAAGTGGAGATACACGCTACTTGCCTTCAACAATGCAATGGAGCTCAAGGTAGGTCTTCAATGAAGTTTGCTAGAAGATGGGTGTTTTGCTGGAAAATGGGTCTTCACCATGGGTCTTCAATGGAGTTGCTTAACATCTCATGGAATCACTTGAACCAGATCCTTCACACTGGATTGGCACCCAGTAGCTGTCCTCATTAAAGTTGAACTTGTCAATTCTCAAACGTCATTATTAATAATTAGGTCATACTTGCAATTAACTAACCAAAAATTTTAAATTATGATAGTGTGATTTATATAGTTGGTTTAATAAGAGATAAAAGACACTACAACAAAAAACAGAAATGGCGACCAAAACATGAAATTTCGTCGCTGAAAGTGCATGAAATGGCGATTAAATTGGAATTTGTCGCCGAAAAGCAGGTTTTTAGCGACTAAAAGGGTTTAGTCGCCGAACAGCATGTTTTTAGCGACTAAAAGGAAGTTTTGCCGCCTAATATAGGGTTTTCAGCGACTAAAGTTTGTTTAGTAGCCAAAAGTCACGGTTTTTAGCGACTAAAATAATTTAGTAGCGAAAAGGTATGGTTTTGGCGACTAAAAACAGGTTTAGTCGCTGATTATAGCAGTTTTGCCGACTAAAAACAATTTAGTCGCTGAAAGTGGGGGTTTTGCCGACCTACTAATTTTTTTTTAGTAGCCAAAAACAGCACTTTTGGCGACTAAAGTCGGGTTTAGTCGGCAAAACCCCTCCTTTTAGCTACTAATTTTTTTTAGTAGCAAAAAATCTGCACTTTTGGCGACTAAACTGAATTTTAGTCGCCAAAACCCTTACTTTTGGCTACGAAATTGATTTTAGTCGCCAATAACTATGCATTTGGCTACTAAATTGTCTTAGTCGCCAAAAGTGAACACTTTTGGCGACTAATTCCATTTTAGTCGCCGATTGTCCTACTTTCAGCGACGAAAATTCATTTTTTAGTCGCCAAAGCTGGATTTTCTTGTAGTGTTTCATCTACAAAAAGTGTATACATGCCTGTTTTGTGCTTTGAGAAACCTCTTCCTATTCTTCCATGTCTGCGTAGAACCGGCTTCCAACCCCCTTCCATGTTTTTCTTTGTAAAGAAAAGAAAGAAAGTGGAGATACACGCTACTTGCTTTCAACAATGCAATGGAGCTCAAGGTAGGTCTTCAATGAAGTCTGCTAGAAGATGGGTGTTTTGCTGGAAAATGGGTCTTCACCATGGGTCTTCAATGGAGTTGCTTAACATCTCATGGAATCACTTGAACCAGATCCTTCACACTGGATTGGCACCCAGTAGCTGTCCTCATTAAAGTTGAACTTGTCAATTCTCAAACGTCATTATTAATAATTAGGTCATACTTGCAATTAACTAACCAAAAATTTAAATTATGATAGTGTGATTTATATAGTTGGTTTAATAAGAGATAAAAGAGTGTCCATCTAATTCTATTTATAGTATTTTTTAATTATTTCACATAAAATAATATCATCCTTATACTTGATATTTATTACATGACCATGAGTAGGTATTGGTTGCTATTCCCTTTTTGGGTCGACACTCAGTTTTACACATTTTTATTTATTATTTAATGTGGCACATAAACAACTTATATATATTTTATTTCATTTAGGTGCAAAAAGAATAACATGCTTATCTAATTATATCATGGCGCTATGGTATGAAGAAAGGGGGGAGAGAGAGACCAATCGAGAGCTATTAATCGCATCTGGCATCAAGGAGGCCAATCCAATGCACTCGAAGCAATAATCAGCACCCCCATCTGTCATTTCTTTTATCACCTGAGTTCATCATTTAAAAATTAACAAATGAACATATAACATTTTTCACATAAAAACTTAATTTTCATGGATTTCTCTATATATATCATCACTTATAAAAAAAACATACCTGGGCAACCGATTTTTCTGAACAGTTTGTGGGATTAACAAAATCTGTAACTCCAAATTTTTTCCCTTTTTTATTCCCTACATACATATAAGCATGCCACGAGAATGAAGAATTTTTATACTATGTTTCAATTTTAAGGTATTAAAAAAAAAAAAAAGAAACTCGTGTATAGGTCTTAATAGGTGAATTTATTATCCAATAGGTCGTATGAGAATTAATGACGTTTTTCATTAAACATTATTAAAAAACATCCTAATTATTATTTTTCAATGACAGTTTAAAAATTTTGTCACAAAAAATATCACTAATTACAAGTTTTAGCGACGATTTAAAAAAACGTCACTAATTTTTAACTTTCAGCTACAGTTTGAAATATTTGTCAGAGAAAAATGTCATTAATTATAAGTTTTAGCGATAATTTATAAAAATCATAACCAAAAAAGTCACTAATTGTTAATTTTTAGCTACATATATAAAAAAATTATCACAAAAAATTATTTTTAGCGACGATTTTGCTAAAACTTATTTTCAATAAGACTTTATGGGAATTAAATCCAACAATTAAGACCTATTACTAGTTTATCATTTAAAAAAAATGTTTGAGATTTTCAAAAGGCTCTAACAATTTAACTTACAATGATGTATTATGATAAGTATTCAATTTTAATTTGTTATCTCTTCAATGATATAGGGCCCAACTCCCTAACTATATCATTGCGGGTGAATATATTTATCTAAATCTGTAGATCTCTAACTCTTTTCATAAAAAAATAGTTAAAAGTAAAGGCAATAGGGTAAGTTATACTTTGCCCCTTTATATTTGGCCAATCTCTCAATTTGGCCTCTAAAATTTATTTTTTTCCTACTTTGACCCTTTATATTTTAATTTTTTTTTTTAGTTTACTCTTAAAGTTAATTTATATTCAAATTTTAGACAAAAAAATGTCATGAAAATTGTCACATAATATAAAAAATATATTATTATATTGAGATTTAAGTTTCAGTCAAAGATGTGAGCAATATATAATAAAATATTTTTATGCTACGTGACTGTTAATGTGTCATTTTCTGTGTAATTTTTAACAAAAATTAGCTTTAGGAGTAAACTAAGAAAAACTTAAAATATGAAAGGCCAAAGTGGGAAAAAAATAAATTTTAGAGACTAAAATGAGAAAGTGGTTAAACATAAAAGAAGCAAAGTGTACTTTATCCAAGGAAACAATATATAAAAATTAATTTTGGGGCAAATTATAAATAAAAAAAATTCAGGATTTCAACCTTGTAACAAAATAAACCTTGACTTTTTAATTTTATCAATTTAAACTTTAATATTTTGATTTATTTTCAATCTAAACTATTTTTCTATTTCCTAATTGACAGAAATATTATATTTTAATAATTATACTTAATGTAAGTGTATGGAAAATGTTTTTAAAATATATTTTTTATTGAATTTAATGATTAAAATATCATGTTTCGTTAGTTTTATTTAATAAAAATAAACAAATAGTTTATATTGAAAATAAATTAAAAGATTAGAGTTTAAAATGATAAAATTTAAAACTTAAGGTTTATTTTGTTATAAGACAGGAATCCTATAATTTTTCCTTTTTTTTTTTTCGTTTCTATTTTTTTCACAAATGCCTATATAAATTCGAAATTCAAAACAATAATATGTTCCAAAATTTATCACATGAATTACTTGTTTTTCTTCTATAAGTTTTGAGTCCAATTAATTAAGAGGTTTAGAAGATGGATGAGAGCTAGCAAATGATAATGAAATGTTGACGAAGGCCCACCAATTTCAAATTTCTCAGGATTCAAATCAACTCCGATGATTTTTGAAGCTCCAAGTAGCCTCGCTCCTTCTGCAACCTGTTACATTAACTTAGATCATACTTGGGAAAATTACAATGGTGGTTTGAGAAAAGAATTACTAATTCATGAAAAAATTTAAAATTTTAGTTTGCAATACTTATATGAAGTGATTTTAACCATTCCTTTAACACACTACTGAGGTAACAAAAAAAAAAAAAATGTTTTTGAAATTATGCACAACAAGAGTGTTTGGTTATAGAGAAATTTTTTAATTGTTTTAATAGTTTTGTTGCTATTGTGATATGCAGTTTCTCTTGTTACCAATCACTCTTGAAATTTAGAAAAATATAGTAATAAACTTCATAAAATTTGCATAATTATATTTTTTATATTGTTTGTCTATCATTTTTATTTTTTTATTTTAAATTTTGGAATGTCAATTGGCTACTTTGAAATGTCCAAGCATAAAATATGTAATTTTAAAAAATATCTCTTATAAATAGTTATATGCATATTTGAAAGTGAAAAATAAATAGATAATTATATTTTTATTGTATGTTTTTTAAAAATTTAAAAAATTTTAAATGGACAAATAAAATAGAAGAGAGGAAATAATTAATTTCTAACAATTGAACTAATAATAAAATTACCGCAAGTCCCACAGTCCCAAGCCCAAATATTGCGACTGTGGAGCCTTCTTCCACTGCTGCAACCTTCAATGCTGCCCCAACTCCTGCACTTACACACTCACAAATCAATGCTCTAATTTATTCATCTTGTAGCATTTGTTGTGTTATTCTCTAAAAAATTAATATAAAGCAATTAGGCTAGTCTAGAAAATATACTTCTATATCATTTTTTTTTTTTTTTACTATTTAAATTAAGTTGAAACATGACATGTATATGTGTAAGTCTGACCCAAAATGAATTTCTAAATCCCAAACTCACTCACTTAACCTAATAGATTTGGACTATTAATTAATTAATTAATTTTTGTCTTGAATAATTATTAAACTGTTTATACCATTTTAATAATTGTTTAAATTTAAAACATTAATAAAAATTCAATTATAAAATAAATATATATTTTTTTATCCAAATCCAATCCAAACTTAATTTGAATTTCAGCCTAAATTTGCATCAAATTCAAAAATATATTGCCAATCTTTTGAGTAGGACTTGAATTGCCATGATTTTGTAGGACAGATTAATAAAGAACTTGTTGGACCATTTTAATATCTTATATTTATTTATTGGTTTATCTTTTTCATTAATGGGGTTTTATTTCTTTGGTAACCTCTTGGTCATAAAAATAGTTTTCTATTATCTTAAATGAGAAGATTGCAACATAAAAAGAATGAGCCGAAACTATTGAATATTGAATGAGAAATTTACATTAATGAATGAGGTTTGGGGAAACAGGTTGTAACCCATATCCGTTTGTGCATACCCAACTTTTTTTTAGAATCTTTAATTGATGTGTTATATATATCATGTTACTATTATCTTTTGATGATGGAGTTCATGGCCATAATAATGACCAACCTTGTAACTCCTACCATTGATGAGTGGAGATTATGACCATTTTGGTGGCCATTAATGCTAGAATTCATGGCTGAAGTTTCCTACAATATAAAAGAAGGTTTCCCTCCAGCTTTTAGATGATGGTTTTAGAGATAGTTTGGAGACAAATTTGAGAGAGAGATGAAAAAATGGAGAGGTTTTATAAACAAAAATTCTAGAATTTTTTTTATTTTCTTTTTGCTAGTCCTCTTCTGTGGTTCTGCTTGTTAATGTAAATTGTAAATAATAAATCATCACTCCACCTACCACCTCCACTACCACCCACTCCACCTACCACCTCCACTTCACTCCACCTACCACCACATTTTCTTCTATATATATGATCATTGTAAACATAACAATACACATCAATCAATAACACAATCAATTTTATACATTGAATTTTAACTCTGCTAAAGAGTGAGTACTTCAAATGTTCATTCGCCGGAGCTGTTCCAGTGAATGATAATGCACGTTCAACCATTATATCTTCGGAGATAGATGAGCCTCCAGTACTACCGGTGAGGTGACGAATCTATTTTAAATACGTCGTGTGAAACACAGGTCTCAATTTACATCCTTTTATCATTTGTTTTTTGATTTTTCAGATCCGATCTACTTGTTGCGATTAATTTTATGTGTCCATCTGTTCAAGTGATTTGTTTAATTCTGAATCCATCTTGTAATCTATTCAATTGTTGTATTTTATATTGTAGTCTATTATTTTTTTTAATAATTTAAATACAAGATTGTTTTATCTTAATTATTTTATTGATTATTATGGAAGATACCAACAGAACTCACCGGTGCTTACTCCACAACTGAGCAAACAAGCCTTGTCGATGGGAATGAGAGTGTTGATCTTGACGATGTCGGCGATATCCACAACAGTGTACTCAGCGAAGCTTGAAACATACAAGAAGTGATGCAAAACCTCGCCATTAGAGTCCCTGAATCTGCTGGTTCCATCTCTGGGCATCCCAATCCGATGACTCAGCGGAAATGCGGAACAACAGTTGCTCTTGGGAGACTTGCAATCCCTACATTCCCCACAATCAGGGTGAAACACTGGCAACACTCTGTCTCCTTTTTTCACTTCCTCAACATTCTCTCCCACACTCTCAACAACACTGCATAACACAAACACAAAAGAAAGGCAAAAAAAAAAATTTGTATTTCATTTTGCCATCCTTTCCTCAAATTTGACTTTTGCAGGAATTTGGTGCATTGGGTTGAATGTTAAAAAATCATAGGAACACCTTTCAGAAGAGATTAAAGTAGACATGGGTGTTAGTATATTATTATACTTTGTATATTATTATAGCATTGTTTATTATTCTTTAGCATTGTATACGTTAGTTGTTATTATTATGTTTGTTAGCTTTAAGCTTTAGCTTTATACTTTCGGCTAGCTTTAGCCTTTCGGTGCCTCACGTCTCGCATGCCTCGCATCCAATGACAGGCTATAAGAAGAGAGCTAAGCTCCCTTTGTAAAAGTACAACAAAATTTAATATACACACCTCATTTTACATGGTATCAGAGCACAGGTGTTTTGCCTAGTCTATACATTTTTTTTTTCTTCTTCTTCGCAGACTGCTGTGTCTCTCGTCTGCATCACATTTGGACAGATTGTTGCATCTCTCGACCTTCTCTTTCTTCCCTAATCAACCACACCAGTCTCTTCGTCTCCTCACGACGAATCCACCGCCACCAAATTTATCACCAGCCGACGTTCCACGCGCCTCCACGCGCCGCCAGAACTTAAGGCCACGCGCATCCTCGTTCTCCGACGTGCTCTACGCGCCTCTGCACTGTCTCGCACTACTGTGCGCCGCGGCCTCCTCTGCTAACGTGAGCCGCGTGTTTCTGCGTCAGCCGACGTCAGCCCTACTGCTTTCGTGCGCCGCCTGCTGTCCTCTGCTATTGTGCGCCGCGCACCTCTCTGCTAACGTGCGCCGCGCCTATGACGTCAGCCCTGTCGCCCATGACATCATCTGTTTGACCGAATTTTGACCAGCCACTTTGACCAGCCCATTTAGTGCCTTTCTGGTCCTATTTTTTGGTCAGTTCACTCTTTTCCCACTGATTTCGACCTTCTGAATTCACTGGTACCCTCGGATTTTTTAAATTCTACCTCGAAAGTACGATTTTGCCCTCATGGATCGCCTCGACTCCTCTAACCACCCTATTTCCGTTGTTCTTGACGGGACTAACTATGTCTTATGGGCACAAGCTATGTCTGGGTTTCTCAAAGGAAAGAAACTTTGGCGCATCATCACTGGGGATGTGTGCAAACCCATCCAAGCAACCACGAAATCCGCCGCCAAATATGTCGACCGTCTGGAGGATTGGGATAGTAAAAACTATCAGATCATTACTTGGTTTCGCAATACTTCTATTACATCTATCAGCCCTCAGTTTGGTCGGTTCCAACTTGACTCTGCTTCCTCTCCAGCCAAGGCCATCTGGGATTTTTTACAAGAACGCTATCAGACTACTGGCCTTGCTCACCAATATCAGCTTCTGAGTCATCTTCACCGTATGCGCCAGGAAACAACTCAGACCATTAATGATTTCCTCTCCCAAATGTATTATGTTTGGGATCAGCTCGCTCTTTCTGAACCTCCATGGGATTGTACTAAGGATGCTGTCTTGTTTACTACTTACCGTGACCAATATCGCTTGGTTCAGTTTCTTATGGCTCTTACTTCCCGTTTTGAGCCCGTACGAGCATCTCTCCTCCATCACACTCCTTTACCCACTCTTGAGCAAGCAATTTCTGAACTCCTGTCAGAGGAAACTCGGTTTGGTACTCTCCATCCGCACCCTGTGGACTCTGTTCTTGCTACTCCCCAGACTAAGAGTTCTCCTTCCCCACCTTCACCACAGAAGTCAACCTTCTGCAACTACTATCAAAATCGCAGTCTTCCGTCGACTCATCTTCTGGTTAATTGTCCTGTTCGCCTCTGTCGGTTTTGCAACAAGACTGGCCCTGGTCATCTCCAGCAAGATTGCTTCCGCAATCCCGCCCGTGTTTCTCGCAATGGTCCTTCCCCCGGGCATTTTTCCCGCAGCACCTCACATCGTTCTGGGCCTCCGTTTAAATCACTCCCTGCTCAACGCACTGCTGCTGCTGCCTCAGAGGATTTACCTTCCCCTGTCCCTATAGATCCTTCCACTCCAGTCTTCTCTCACACAGATGTCGAAGCCATGTTTCAACATTTTTGGCAAAAATCCGGTACCCCTTCCTCTCCTGCCTTGTCTGTCACCGCAGGTAACACTTCCTGGTACTTTGACTCCGCTTGTTGTAATCACATGACCAGTGACTCTACTATTTTTACTCTTATCTCTTTTACTCCTCATGTTCCTTCTATCCATACTGCTGATGGGTCTCTTCTGTCTGTAAGTCATGTTGGTTCTGTTTCCACCTCTCACTTATCTTTATCTCATGTCTATCTTATGCCTGCTCTCACTTTAAATCTTATCTCCATTAGTCAATTATGTGAGCATGGTCTAACTGTTACCTTTTCTCCTACTGGTTGTTTGGTGCAGGACCCTCGGACGGGGCAAACCCTTGGGATAGGCCGTAAGCATGGACGCCTCTACGAACTTATCCATCTTCATGTTCCGGATTCCTCTCAGATCACAGCTCCTACCACTGCTACCACTGCTCCTCGTTTATCTCCTTTTCAGCTTTGGCACTGTCGTTTAGGCCATCTTTCTGCTGGTCGTTTAAAAACTTTAATTTCTAGTGGTCATTTAGGTCCTGTCAGTTCTGCTGCTTTAGATTGTGTGTCCTGTCAACTTGCTAAACAACCTGCTTTGTCGTTTAATAAAAGTGACTCTGTTTCTCTTTCACCATTTGATCTCATCCATTCTGATATTTGGGGACCCTCTCCTACTCCTACTATGGACGGAGCCTGCTACTTTGTTGTTTTTATTAATGATTTTTCCCGTTTTACATGGTTGTTCCTTATGAAAACTCGCTCTGCGCTCAAACAACTTTATTACAATTTTGCTGCAATGGTTAACACACAATTTTCTAAAACTATTAAGATTTTTCGCTCCGACAATGCCATGGAATATAAAGATTTTGACTTTCTTTCCTTCCTTCAGAGTCATGGTACTCAACCTCATCGTTCCTGTCCAGGTACGTCCCAACAAAATGGCCGTGCTGAACGAAAACATCGGCATCTACTTGACACTACTCGAGCCCTCCTTCTCTCTTCCTCTTGTCCAGAAAATTTTTGGGGAGAAGCCGCTCTCACTGCTGCTTACACTATCAATTGTATCCCTACACCGGTCATTCATAATCACACTCCATATGAGCGTTTACATGGCACCAGTCCCCCTTACGACACCCTTCGGGTTTTTGGCTCTGCCTGTTTTGTTCTTCTCCAACCTCATGAACGTACCAAACTTGAACCTCGTTCCCGCCTTTGTTGCTTCTTGGGGTATGGTATTGAACATAAAGGGTATCGTTATTGGGATCCTTTCTCCCAACGACTTCGTATCTCTCGTCATGTGGTCTTTTGGGAACACAAAATGTTTTCCTCTCTCTCTCAACTCTTCTGTTTGTCCGTTCCCTCACCCTCTCTGTTTTTTACTGACCTTCCACCGATCTATTTTCGGATGATCTTCCTGCACCACCTACGCCAGCCTCTCTCTGAGTTTTCTGATCCGCTTACTCCACGCCCCTGCCTGCTTCTCTCAAAGATCGTCTTGCCTGCTGGCCTGCTCCATGCCCCTACTCCCTCTGATGGTCCTGCTTTTGCTTCCTCTGGACTCCTCCCCTACCTGCTGAGTCTTTTTCCTCTGGCTCTCCTCCGTCTGCTCGACCACGCCGTAAAAACAACTTCTGCTCGTCTTCGTGAACTTTATGTGGTTTCTACTGCTTTTTCTACTTATGAACCGACCTCCTATCGTGAGGCTCGCTCTAATCCTCTTTGGTAAGCAAGCTATGACTACTGAATTGCAGGCTTTAGCCAAAACTCATACTTGGGACATTGTTGATGCTTCCTCCTGGCAAGTCTGCCATTGGCTGCAAATGGGTATACAAACAAGACTTGTTCTGATGGATCTATTGAGCGCTACAAAGCCCGCCTTGTTGCCAAAGGCTTTAACAGAATATGGTATTGACTATGAAAGAGGACCTTTGCGTCCTGTTGCTCGTCTCACCTCTATTCGCGAACTTGATTGGTTTGTTCTGACTCCCGCCATGGGATCTTATCAAATGGACGTACCAATGCTTTTCTTAATGGTGTTCTTCTCGAGGAGGTCTACATGCAACCTCCCCCTGGGTCTACTTATCCACCTCATAAAGTCTGCAAACTTCGCGTGCCTTATACGGTCTCAAACAAGCTCCACGCACTTGGTTTGCCAAGTTCAGCTCTACTATTCATGGACTGTGGTTTCACCTCCAGCTCTTATGATACTGCTCTTTTTATCGAAAAACAGCTCAAGGGACCACCCTGCCTTTTACTTTATGTGGATGACATGATTATCACGGTGATGATATCGATGGTATTCTTCGCCTTAAACAGTTTCTTAGCCACCATTTCGAGATGAAAGACTTGGTCTCTCAGCGTATTTCTTGGGTCTTAAAATCTCCCATGATTCTACGGGTTCTTTTAATCCTCAAGCTAAGTATACCTCTGATCTTCTCACCCGTGCTGGTCTTACGGATTGCAAGACTGCCTCCACTCCCTCGAGCCTCCGAGTCGTCTTACACCTCTTGATGGCACTCCTCTCTCTGATGCTACCCTATATCGTCAGCTGGTTGGCAGTCTTGTCTATCTCACTGTTACTCGTCCTGATATTGCTATGCAGTTCATATTGTCAGCCAGTTTATGTCGGCTCCTCGTACCCCTCATTATGCTGCCTTAATTCGTATCCTTCGGTATCTCAAAGGCACCATGTTTCATGGTCTTCATTATTCCGCCCGCTCCTCTCTCCAGCTTCGTGCTTTTTCCGATGCTGATTGGGCTGGAGATCTACTGACGCCGGTCTACTACTGGGTTCTGCTTTTTTCTGGGTGATTCTCTTATTTCTTGGCGCAACAAGAAACAACTCTCTTACTGCTCGTTCCAGTACTGAGGCCGAATACCGTGCTCTTGCTGATACTACTCA